CTAAAAAATACACACTAAAAAATTTATTTTTCGAGATTTTAAATTATAATTTCATTTTAATCTGAATTTCATTTTAATTTGCCACAGTATATATATATGTACATACATATGTATATATATATCAAATATATACTTGATACATAAGTACGTATATATATATATAGTACAAGCTCTGTTGAAAAATTTCTATTAAATTATCTGATTACAGTTACTTTGCAAATTTTAAATTATAGATATAGTCATATAATCTCTAGTTCTAAATAAACTCTGTAAAATAATAAAATTATAGACTTTCTTTCAATAGCACTCAAAAAAATTTATTAACAGAAGAAAACAATCAGTAAATCATTAGAAAAAACTTTGAATATCACAAACAGAAATATATAAATAAAACATACTACTACCTTTGTTCTAGATAACGATCAAGAGCACAGTTATATAATTTTTTACTTTATATATTAATTGCGATCTTGATTATTATCATTTTTCATTAAAGCCTACCTTTAGCATATCAGAAGATTCATTTAATCATATTTGTTGAATCATGATAATACTTAACTTTAAGGTCTTAAATTCATTAAAAAAGTAAATTATAGTTCAATATACTCAAATAAATATTATATACACAGGAATTTAGCTAAGCTTTGAATAAGAATCAATTTATAAGCCGCAATATGTAAACATTTTTTTCTCTGTACAATTATCTTTGACACCCAATTTCAAAATACATATTAACTTAACCTAATATAATTGATTCACTATAAATTTGCAAAATGACTTTATAATGCTAACTAACATTATTCTGTACAAGTTCTAGTATAGTGTTCCAGCTTTTTACATTTGCTGCATTTTTGACCTTTAATATCATCTCCATCATTAATACAATTTTCCAATATATCAAGATTTCTACTAATATCTCTTAAATGATGTTTATTACTTTTATTTGTTTTCTCAACACATGATTAAAGTTGCTTAGAAAACCGTCTCTTTCGTTTAGTAATACTAGGATTGCCAATATTATTATTACCATTCTCGTCTTGAGCTTTATTACTATTCACTTTGCTTTGCACTCTATTAATAAATTTTTTAAGAATATTAGATAACTCAGTTCGTATATCAGCTTTAATAGCATAGTCGACTATCTTTTTAGATAAACCAAATAGCTTTGCATATATTGCTTTAGCTGGTTTGGAGGTTGATTGAAAATTTGAGGCATTATAACGAAATAAAAAAGTTGTTACAATATATTATTTGGTGTAGCTTCTGGAGTTTCTTGTCCAAACATAGAAATGATAATGGCAGAAACTTCTTTAAGCAAATCATTTTGAACAACCTTAGGATCTAAATACCATCGGCTTAGAATTAGAGTTATATGGAATATGGTTGAAGAGGAATATGTACCAACATAAAAGAAGTGGTAACAAATTAAGCCTTTGTTAATTAGAAGAAGACAAGTACACAAATGTGTATTGTTTTTGAGCAATATAATATAGTTGCTATGTTCTGTTATTCCTGTGGCATGAACATGCTAAACTTTAAGGATTGAATTGAATAGTATATTTTTTATTAATGATGCAAATAAAATCTGACATGTATCAATATTCTGTTCCCTAATGCAAAACCTAATCTTTGAAATATCTATATCAGTCTATAATAATAAAATCACATTAGAATTAGAATTGATTAATAAATATAAAAAACATGCACTTTATCATGATCAAATTTTGTTATTCATAAACACGAGCAATATCATAATATATGCTTACATTCATTTGATCTCTCTGTTTACTAAGGATGTTGAGTGTGAGATATTTTCTCATATTTCATCAACTTTATAAAAGAAATAGTTATTCAACATTGGCAACCAACCATCAGAATGACATTCTATTCTATTTTGAATTTTGTCAAATGTTTACTTTGATTAATATAATTATTGAGGCTGATTAATAGATCATATAAGGAAGTTAAAAAATCAACTTTCTTATATATAAGTGAATTAATAGATTCAATTCTTTGAATGCTCTGTGCACCTCCTATAAACTGGTTATTAATCTAATGAGTCACTCATAAATCTTTAATATTATAAAGAACATCATTCAAATATTTTTCAGC